GAGTCCGGCGGCGGCGGGGCTGGCGGCGGCGGGGGCATTGAAGGGGCACTGGCGGCGGGGGCGGGGGCGGAGGAGGCGTGGCTGGCGGTGGACACGCCCGACATTGCGGAGCGGCTGCCGGCGGCGCTGGACGTGCGCGGCGCGCGAGAGAAGGAGCTGCGGGCGACGCTTGAGAAGGTGCGCGGCAGAGGGGGGGCTCGGCATGGAAAAGAGGGGACAGGGCTTGGGCGGGGCGGGCCTTGAGTGCAGCTTGTGGGGTGGCTGGCAGGATGCGTCTCAAAGCAAGGCCGCGGGCCCCAGTGGGCCCCGCAGCCCCGGCGGCGCCAGGCCGTGGGCACGAGCGGGGACCCCTCAAGGCGCCCGCTTGGTGGGCCTTCGGGGCAGCCAAGCCCCGCGCGCTCGTCTTCCGCCCACCCCGCCGCGGCTGCCGTCCCCCAAACTTCCGCCCCAGGCCGTCCCCGAGATCTCCGCGGCCCTCCGCCGCGCGCGCGAGTCGCCCGCCGCGCCCGCCGGCGCCCCCAAGCCGCCGCGCCCCGAGAAAGGCGCCCGCGCGCCCGAGCGCGAGCTGCCCTCGCGCCACGCGCGCCGCGCGGCCGAGGAGCAGATCAAGGCGCAGGCCGCGCTAACCTCGGACTTCAAGGCGGACCGCGCCGCGGCCACGGCTGAGGAGAAGCGGCGCCGCGACGCCCCGCCGCCGCGCGACGGGCTGTCTGGGGGCGACTTCGGCGGGCTCTTCGGCGGCGCGGCCGCGTGGGACGGCGGGGCCCTGCTGACGGCGGCGGACTGCATGGCGGCGCTCGCGTCATCCGCGTCGGCCGCGCGCGCCCCGGGGCCGGCGGGCGGGTGGGTGGCGTGGCGGCGGAAGCTCGAGGCGATCGTCTCGTCGGGCGAGATCGACTCTTCGTGGCTCTCCGCCGCAGAGGAGCAGGCCGCCGCTGCAGCTGCTGCAGGCGGCGACGCGGCGTCGGCCGCGGCGGCGGCGCTGACGGCGGCGCCGCCGGGCATGGTGGGCGACCGGGGGCGCGTGTTTGTGCAGCTGAGGCTGCGGCTTTTGGAGTTGGAGGAATATCTGGTGGCGGCGACTGGGGAGGGGGAGCTGTACGGTCAGGAGGATGAGGAGGAGGGGGAGGAGGAGGGTGCTGAGGCAGACGGGGAGGAGGAGGGAGGGGAGCAGGAGGAGAGGGCGGAGGAGCAGGAGGAGGAGGAGGGGCACGAGGCGCCGAAGGGCGGCGGCGGCGGCAAGAAGGGCGGCAAGCGGCGCCGCGGCGGCCGGGGCGGCAGCGGGCGCGTCAAGCGCGCGCGGGGGTCGGGGGCAGAGGCAGACGGGGGGGCGGAGGAGGAGGGTAAGGGGGACGCGGAAATGGCGGACGCTGACGAGGACGGCGCGGGCCCGAGCGAGAAGCGCGGCGGCGGCGGCCGCCGCAGCCGGCCAGCCGGCGCCAAGGGCCGCGGCGTGCGGCGCGTCTCGCAAGCAGACCGCGACGGCGGCGCAGACGGGGCCGCGGGGGGCGGGGATGAGGAGGAGGAGGAGGCAGCGGAGGCGGCGGCTGAGGAGCGGCGCGCGCCGCGCAGCGCGGGCAAGCAGCGGCAGCACCAATCGGGGCGGCGGCCGGACGAGCGGCTGCGGCTGCTGGAGGACCCGGTGAGTGCGCGGCGCCCTGCCAGGGGCGCCCCTCAGCGCCCTTCGTCCCCCAACCCCCTCCTCGCGCCTTTGACGCCGCCCCGGCCCCAGCCGCGGCCCAGGCGTCGCAGACACTGCAGCCCGGGCCCCGCCGCGCTGAACGGCGCCCGCGGCGCGGCCCCTTAACCCCTGTCCTGCTGGGCAGCACACCTGTCCGTCACCCCCTCCGTCTGCCGCCCGGATCTCCATCGCCTCAGCGCAACCTCGCCGCCTGCACACACACACACACACAAACACACACACACGCACACACACACTCACAGACACACAGAAACCATACACACGCCCTTACACTCACTCACCACCCCCGCCCCGCCCCGCGTCATCCCCTCCTCAGGATTACTTCCCGCCCGTCTTCGATGACGAGGTCCCGCAAGACGATGACAGCGCCATCCCCGCCTCCCGCCAGCCCGCCTGCATCTGGCGCGCCGCGCCCGAGCGCGCCGCCTGGCGCACGGCGGCCGGCGCGGCCGCGACGGCCGCGGCGCTGGGCTACTGCGCGGCGGCGCTGGGGGCGCACGGGGAGGGGCCGGTGGCGGCGCTGAGGGGCGGGAAGAAGAAGGCGTGAGGGCGGGGGGCGCTGCAATGCTTTGCTGCTTGAGCGGCCGTGAGACACCCATCAGTCAGTCAAGGCTGCAAGAATTGCCGGGTTGGTGCATACATAGCAATGACCCGGGGTCGCGCCAGCGCAGGCCAGGGGCCCGCAGAGTGGCAGCAGCGGCGGCAGCCGTGCGTTCGCGCGCGCATGAGCGTGCGACGCGCGCGATCTGTGAGGAGCGCGCCTGCTTCTGCCACCTCGTCCGTGGTGCCCCGAGCGCAAGGCCCTGCTTCAGCGGTTTTGCGCCAGGTGCAGGTCAGTTGGAGGAATTAGTCACTGTAACGTGGCCCGTCTTTGCGTCCTTGAGCGTTGCCCTTACTTTGGAAGCGCCCGGCGCTGGACACTGCCTGTGCTGGGCGGATCCGGACGCCCCTGCACGCAGCGCTTGGCAGTGCTGCGCCGCGTGCTCAAATCAAAAGCAAGCCAGGCACGGCGGTTGCGGCAAACAGTTGCTTGCTGGGCGTGCTGGGACGCCCGCAGGGCCTGTGCGCTTGGAAAACACAGATGCCGCACTCAACACGGGGTTTCACGGGACACAGGTGGCTGACGCAACGGCCCGCTGCATGTGTCATAAGCTGGCAGCTCTTCGATGTTTCTGGCGGTGTGGCTTCAGACCAGTGAAACTGGCTGGGCGGCTAATGTGCAGTCATCGGGGGTTGGTGTGGCCAGCGCCTGAGCCCGCGCTACACTGCACCACCTCGTAAGGGTTGGCAGCACCTTGCCTTTGACAGCACTGCCTCGCATGACAAGGGGTGGCCGCTTGCTGCAAGCCCCCTGTGACGATTTGCCGCGGCGAGCCTGGTTGCCCTGGCAGCAACCGGCATCCCGCGAGGCCGCCAGTCTCGCGGCAACGCAGCTCTGCAGCTGCGCACATGGCTGCTGCCCGGCACCGCAAGCCCGCCCGGCCCGCGACGCCTGCCGCCCCCTAAGACTCTCTCGCGCAAATGTCCTGGGGTCAGGCTTCGAGCCCATGAGCTGTTGCAGGGTGCTGGCCAGGAAAAATGCAAGGCAGAGCATGGTACTTGCATGCAAGAAGCAAGGAATGTCATGCAACATGCACCGCCATGGGCGCCGCAACGCCCAGGCGGGGCTGCAGTACAGCGGCGCGGCTGGACCATGCCAGGCCGCCGGCCTGGGGGTGCACGCGCTCCTCCCTCAGTGCTGGCACGCTGCGTGAACAGAACGACGACGTTGGACTGGGATCAAGTGAAAAGCACATGCGACTAGAGGTGGGCTGCAAAGGCCCTGTTGAAATCTGATATCCCTCGACCGCCTGGCTGCAGAATCGAAAGTGCGACATGCATGGGCACAACAAAGTCCTTCCAGTACACCGGTGAAGCATGCAGGGCGCGCGCGGGCCCCGCGTCACCCGAACAGGACGATGAGTATGAGCGCCACAATGACGCCGCTGACCAGCCACAGCACCAGGCACTTGTTGCGCGCCGCCCGCTGGCTGCGCTCCGCCCGCACCAGCTGCCGCGTGCCCTCGTAGGTGCGCTCCGCGGTGGTCGCGATCTGCTGGTCCACCGTGATGATCTGCTGCCCCTGGTCGTTGATCAGCACCGCCAGGTCTTGAAACATCTCGTTCACCTCGCCGATCTGCCGCTGGATCTCTGAGGGCGGGGCGTGGGGAGCAGGCACAGGATTAGGGTATGGGGGCCATGGGCGGGCGGCCCGCCGCTGCATCTTCGAGGGGGGTGAAGGCGGCGCGGCGCGTCTTGAGGGACAGCCGCGGCAGCGCCCTCGCGAGGGGCCAGATGCAGCACGCCCAGGAAAGGCCACTGAGCTGCAAAGCTCTGCAGTACACCGCAAAGCCTGGGATCGCAGACCAGCCGGCGGCGCCGCGTCGTGGCGGGCGAGCTCGCTGCTGCAGCGCGCCTCACCCTGGATGCCGTGGTCGCGCTCCTCAATGAGCGCCTCGTTGTACGCCATGGCCCCCTCCAGCTGCGCCGCCTCCGCCATGCGCTGCTGCTGCAGCAGCCCCTGCCGCTCGAGCTCCTGCTCCCGCCCGCCGCCGCCCGCCGCCGCTGCAGACGCGGCCGCCGCCGCAGACGCAGCCGCTGCCGCCGCCGCCACGGCCGCGCGCGGCAGGCTGGTCGCCTCGCGCTCGGCGGCGACCTTCTGCGTCGATTTGTAGTCTTGCAGCATCGCACCAAAGTCCTGCATCAGCCGCCGCACTTTCTGCTGCGCCACGGCTGACATGGCGGCCTTGTCCTGGCCAAGGGACGTCAGCTGCTCCTTGATGCGCTTGGCAGTATCCTGCAAGCGCACGCGCGTGCGCGCACGCGCGTGGTGTGCGTGTGACAATCGTCTCAGCCCGCCGCCGCCATCGCACTCGCCCGCAGCACCGCCCGCTGTCAAGACGGCCGGCAGCGCCTTCCTCAGCCACCCATACCGGGAGTTCCTGGGCCCTGGCCAACAGACCTGGCCACCAGACCCAGGCCGCCCGCACCTGCAGCCTGAGGTTGGCCTCGCCGATGCGGTGGCGGTGCTCCACTGTGTCGCGCGGCGTGCCCAGCACGTCCACCATCTTCTTCAGCGCAGACAAGCCGCTAGCCATCTGGAACACCAATCCCTCCACCTCACGAGTCGCCTGCACGGCGCCGCGTGGCAGGGCAGCAGGTCTCTTTGCGGCCGCGCGCAGGCGCGTGGCACCGCACGCTCATGCACCTGCTCGCGCACCGACGGGTGCTTTTGGCGAGCAGCAGCAGTAGCACGGCGCTCACCTGAGAATGCATGTCTGACAGCTCCCTGACCTCCCCTTCGCCTCTCGCCTTGTCCTGTACAGCGTGCACCGGGATGCGTCGTTAGCACATGCCCCAGGCCGCGCCAGGCCTATAGAACCGCGTGCACCCATCTGATGAAGGCGCTTTTACCTCAAACATGGTTGTCTATGCCCGGGACAAGGCCCGTTCTGTCGCTAAGGGATGATCCAAGCGGTATGGTACTGTACGTATCAAGAGCAGGATCGGAAGGCGTCTTCACGTGAATGATAGGTTGTATATCTAGGCAACGCTTTGCCCTGGGCGTCGCATTCCATGCTCCTGTTTGCCGCCTGACGAGCGGTGCCTTGCTGCATCCAGGAGGGGGCGCCATGGTCTGCGACGCGTCTTAGGTGTACCGGTGGTGGCTGCTAATACTTGAGTTATAAATCACATTTGGTTTGATATGGCATGACCATGACATGTGAATTGCGCACATGAAATGGTGTTTCCCCAGTATCTCGCTTGTCCACCCCGCAGGGAGGGTAGCAAGACCGGTGGCGTGGATTGGCATCAGCGCCCGAGATGCAAGTACGCTGCCGTATTTTAACAGCCCACTATGATGTAACACGCAAGCTGCACGATCCTGCAGTGCGACATGCAGCACCTGCTTAATCACCCCTCACAACTTGCCCGGCAGTGCGTCATCCCTGCGACGGCGACGGACCTGTGTCGCCCACTCCCCCGCCACCCTCGCGCCCCCGCTGCGGCAGCCGCATCTCCGCAGCTGCACCCACCACCAGGCTCTGCAGCCCAGCAGTCATGGCGCCCAGCCCCCGCTCTCGCTCCTCCCCCCCCCCTGCTGCTGACGTCAGCTGCGCTTGACGGTGTCGCCCAACGGCATGTGCAACTGTTGCAATTTCTGTCGTGCACCGGCAGAGCATCTAGCGGTCATCGATAATGACCTTGACACCCGCACGCTCCACATCCTTTTTACAATCAGCCAATGCATCCGCAAGGGGGCAAGCCTTGATGCCACTGCCCCGGAGCCGAGGAAGGCAAGCAACATATGTGAAGCATCCTTGAATTATCGCGCTTGCAGAGCCTTGAGCGAGGGGGGAAAGAGCAGCATGCGTGCCGTCGGGCCGCCGAGCGACACCCCGGAGACGTTCAAGCCCTGCAGCGGCACCGCCTCGCAGCTGCGCACGCCTGCCCGGACATCAAGGGGATCGGCCGGCGCCAGTGACGCTCAAATGGGTCAGCCGCGTGGCGGCAGTGACAGCAGAAAGCAGTGCCCCAAAGGAAAGCTGATTGCCGCGTGGGGCACAAGCGCACGCTCAACGAGGCCAGACGCGGAGCGCAGACAAGCGCTACACTTGCACGCCAGCACCCACGCACCCGAGCCTGGTTGGCCCCGGCAGGCGCGGCCAGCACACCCCACGCCCCGTCGCTACATCAAACGGCGCCGCACGGCCTCTCGGATCGCCTGTCCATGCACAGACTGTGCAACGCCCCATGCCACTGAAGCCAGCACAGGCGGCCGCATGCTACCATCGTTTCAGTTGCCTTTGGCATCGAGCTTCTTGAGGATGTGCTTAATTTCCTGCACAACACCCTTCAGGATCTCCAGGTCCTTGCGGAGGTTCATCTGCACAGCGTCCAGCCTGCTGTCCACACGCTCAACCTTCCACGCCAAAGTGTCCACCTTCGTAGCCACCTTCATAGCAGAAACGTCCACCTGCGTAGCCATCTTCATATCCGAGATGTCCACCTTTGTAGCCAAAGTGTCCACCTTCGTACCCATCTTCATAGCAGAAATTTCCACCTTTGTCGCCAAAGAGTCCTGCATCACGGGTTGGGATGGGGGATCCTGAGTGGGCTGGGCTGAGTTGCAGCACCCTTCAAGCTCCAGGTGCTGAGGTTGGGGCTGGGTGGTTCCCTTAGTCGCGTTTGACGCACTGTAGTATGCTGCACGCCGGTTACTTTCGTTAGTCTGGTTGCAGGCATCACTGGTCCCGTTCGCTGCATAGTGCATCCCCCCAATCGCGCCCAGGTCAACGCACCTTGAGAACACCAAGCTGTAAGTGATTATCATAAGCGACGCCAACTACTGCTGCTACAGTAGCGACGGCAAGCGCTCCCCTCCAAGAATCATAGGCATTGTCTATCAGCCAGGCCACCTCCTCCAGTGTCGGAGCCCGGCGCGCCGCGCCAGAAGCAACCTCGGTAGCAAAGCGCCGGAACGCCATCCTATGTCCATTGCACAGAACTAGAATCATCTGATTGGACCAGGAAGTGTGTATACAAAGTTCGCGCTTATGTAACATACAGTAAGGTTGCATGTCGCACCTGTTTGCGAACCAGATGGCTTCACTGGCTTGCGCACTCAGTTCTGTGTGCTTTGTTTATGCTCCGTGCAACGTCGTGTGGGTAGGCTTGGGTCGCGATCACCAATGGCGCTGCATGCCCACACGAGCTGGGCAGCTTTGCGTATGTGAGGTGCGTGCGTGTGTATATATACCAGTTTTGCTTTTATCAGCGCAACAACCGATGCGGATGAGCGTGAAACACTACCGTAGCAAACTCAATAGCACAGGGAAACACACGGGCAAAGCTTTTCGCAGCTAGCTTTCGCAACGTGTAGCGACAATTCTGCAACGCTGGTGCTTTAGCGGGATGCAACTGCTTCTTGGCGGCCTGCATGTGCCTCCACCGCCGCCGCTTTTCGTGCTGCTCCTGCTGCGACTGGACCACTGATGGGCTGCCTTCTTTGCCTCTGCCCCTTTCACACACCTCGGCGCCAATTGCGCTGGGCTTGCGCTGCCAGGCACGCCCTGTGTGCGGCCAGCGCGCCAGGCGGCCTTGCTGCTCGAAGCGCGCCTGCCTGCTGTGTGCAAAGGCGCGCGGCATCAAGGGTGTCCGCCGGCACCGCTGCAACTGAGGCAGTGCCACGCTCAGATGGGTCAGGCGCATCCCACGCCCCGTAGCAACAGGCGGCGGCGAGCGCGCAGTCAGGGCACCTGCACGTGGCAACGCAGGTTGCGCCACCTGGCGAAGATGGGGCAGTCCCTGCCTCGTGCTTCGAGCTCAAGTTGAGCGCATCCATGATGGCCAGCAGCTCGCAAGAGCGGCAGCGCGTCTCCTCGGCGACCGGATAGTCGATCATCTTGAGCCGCCGCGCCGCCTCCTTGCACGCCAGGCCCTCCAACACGTCCCGCCACCCGCCCGCCTGCTGCCGCAGCCGCGCCGCCTCGGCCGCCCGCCCCGCGCCGCGTTGCAGCCGGGCCAGCCGCGCCAGCCGGGCCTGCACCGGGGCCAGCGCCTCCCTGCCTTCCCAGGCTCACCGCAGCACCTGCTATCGGGACGTCAGCTGGAGCTCTAGGGCATGTCCGGCAGGTAGCTGAGCACTGTGACGGTCCACTCGCAGTGCAAGTGCAGGTGGGCGGTCTCATGGCTGCAGCTGCGGCGCCCACAGCCGCTCGCTTGGATTTCGGCTGAGTGTGAGAGGAGTGCCTCCGTTGCGCGCTGCATAGTGCAGCGCCTGCAGCTGTTGTCCGGCTCTGCTGCCAGGAGCGAGCTGAGGGTGGCGCAGCGTGCAGCCTGCTGCAACAGCTGTGCCTGCTGGCCCGACAGCTCCTCTTGGATGTGCGTTTCCATATTCGCTGCGAGAGATCGGTCATCAGACCGCGCACATTGCAATCTTGGCGCCAAATGTACAGCAGACACGACTGAGAGAGCGGCCTGGTCCAATAGTGGACAGAGGCAACATGCCCAAAACTAACGGGTTATTTTGCTGCGTACGGCTTGGCGTTTTGGTGGACCTTACAGAAGGGACAGTATACAGTCCTACCTACATACGTATGTAGGTAGGAGCTGGCTGTTCTTGGTAGGATATCAGCACAGTGCAGATCAATTCAGGGTTTGGGCCATCGGTGCTTGGCGATGCTGCCATTGGTCAATATACTAGGTGATGTATCTAAGCATGATTGTGTGCTGGGCTTGGCATTCAACGCAGCCGGTACGCGTTTGCCGCCTGACGCGCAGTGCCTTGCTGGTCGCTGCACCCAGACGGGGGCGCCACGTCTCGAGTGTCTCTGTATGTGACCGCTGATCATCACGGATATAACATCCGCGCTGCATGCAAGGCACAATATGGGTTGATATGGCGTGATCATGGCATGTAGACTGCGCACATCCGTTGATGGTTGCGCACAATGTCAGCTTGTGCACCCTCACGGGGAAACTTTACGAGACTGGTGGCGTTGACTGTTGGTGCCGTCCAAGGTGCGTGACAGGGGGCTACCGCACTTCATCAGCACACTGTGTTGTAACATGTAAGCCTCAAGATCCTGCAGCGCAACACACAGCACCTGCTCCGTCGGCCCTCACGACTTGCCCGGCCGCACGTCATCCCCGCGATCAGCGCTGTCCGCCTCGCCGCCGTCTGCGCGCGCCCGTTGCAGCCGCCTCATCTCCGCAGCTGCGCCCACCACCAGGCTCTGCAGCCCGGCACTCATGGCGCCCAGCTCTCGCTCCCGCTCCTCGCTCTCTCGCAGCAGCTGCGCGAGCCCGCCAACAAGCGCTTCCCGCGGGCCGCCGCCCAGCGCAGCCCCAGCCCTTGCCAGCAGGATGGCGCAGCGCGGCGATGAGTTCCCGTATGCACGCATGAAGGTGGACCCGCCATCAGTGGCGACGGCGGCCTTAGCACCGTGTTGCAGTAGCAACTCTAGGATTGGGGACAGCGCGTCGTCTGTTTTGGGGGAAAATGCCAGGTAGTAGTGAGCGTGCCGGCCCCGCGCGTCTGTAGCGCCGGCATCTGCCCCGTGGCTGAGCAGCGCCGCGACAATCTTGCCCTCAGAACGCGACACCGCATAGTGCAGCGGCGGCAGGCTTGCCCTGCCGCCGTCGCTGTACTCAAGTGTCAAGGGTTCGTTGGGGGGTGCACCGTTCTCCAGCAGTGCTTGGACGTGTTCGTAGCGCTGAAAACGCATTGCAAGGAGAAGCGGCGTGCTGTTGTCGTTTGTCAAACCGCGCATGTTGGCTCCGCGCTCGACCAGGGCGCGGATTGCTCTCATGCGCCCTCCTACTTCGCCCCACGCTGCGTGATGTAAGGGGGTCCAGCCGTTCGAGTCCCGTGTTTCAATGTCTGCGCCCAAGTCCAGGAGCAGCAGCAGCGCCTCCAAGCTGCCGCCCCCAGCCGCCGCATGGATTGCACGGGTTCCCCAGTCATCTATGGGCGCGTCCAGCTTGGCGCCACGCGCCGCAAGGAGCCTCACCGCGGGCAGCTGTGCGCCCCATGCGGCCAAAGACAGCGGCGTGGCGCCGTCGTTGTCGTGCGCGTCGATATCTGCGCCATTGTCAAGTAGCGTCTGCGCGATAGCCAGGTGCCCGCTGCACGCTGCATAGTGCAACGCGTGCATGCCGGAGCCAGCCTCGGCACAAGTGGCCAGCGCCGCCCTGCAGCTGTCATCGGGCTCTGCAGCGAAGATTGAGCTGACAGCGACGCTATCCCCAGAGCGTGCAGCCTGCAACAGCTGCGCGTGCCGGTCCAACAGCGTCTCTAAGATTTGCGTTTCCATATCCACGGGAAGAGGTCGGTCGTCAGACCGCAATGAATTATGCGATCTTGGCGCCAAGTCCACAGCAGACACGACTGAGAGAGCAGCCTGGTCCAACAGATGAGAGACGTGCTATATCGATGATTCACGGCGTAATGCATACGCATTGGCGTTTCGCGCCTCGCACAAGAGAGGCAGCTCTGGCGGGTTCAGATCATGCCAGGCTGCCTGTGGCATAATTTTCAATTGATTTCATTTCCTCTATAGCGGCCGCCGTACCAAGTAAGGGTTGAACTGTTATATGTGATGGTGGTGGGAAATGCAGTCAATGTAGTTAATTAGTTGTGATTGCCGCCGCAGACGTCATGAGGTGACAAGTAGTGCCCTGTGGCAGTGCATGCTGCGTCGCCGGTGAGGTGCTGCAGCACCGGTGTGCCGGTCAACTCTACCTCATGCAGCTCCTGGTTATGTTGTGCGTCACAGCAGCAGCTGATTCTACCAGCTGCGCCCCCTCACCACCTCAATGTGCCGTAGCATCTGCAGCAGCAGGGCCCCAAGCACACAGACACGGTCCTAGCCCTTGCATCGTTGATTAGTAGGACATCAGGACAAAACTGGTCCTTACCACATGCTTTACACGAAATAGGACCTTCTGAAGCCCGCACAGACACCAGAGCAGAGAAAAGGGCGAACGCCAGTCATGCAATTGGATAAAAGAAGGGTGGATGGAAAGAACGTCACCACTGGTCCTGGACCTTTCAAGTTAGCACACTGCTAGTGTCAGCTCCTCACAACACTGCAGAACAGTTGCAATTCGTCAAAAAGGGTGTCTCAGGTGATACCTGCAATAAGAAGCGCGAGCCTGAGCACAGCTGATGCATCTTATTTCAATTGGGTTCCATGCAACTGAGTGGGAGAGGGCTGCTGTCACGAACAGAGGCGCTCTCCAACAGTGGGCCGCAGCATGCCACACTGCAAAGTTTTTTTGTGTGCCGCGGCATGTTGAACGCAGAGTCACAGTCAAATAGCCTCACGAGAGGACAAGGACCTGCTGCCGTACAGCACAGCTATGCAGCCAAAAACCGCAGGTATGGTGGTCCAATGGCAAGCCAGGGGGCACCCACGCCTGTGGCGGCCCACCTGCAACCGGCAGCGCAGTGGCTGCAGGCGGGCCCCAGATTTGCTTCACGTGCTACCTGCCCTGACTCACAGTGAGAGCCGCCTTGGGCGGCGGCGCACGCAGCTGCCACGCCCGTCGGCCCTCATCCCGTCTCGCCCCTGCCTCCAGCTCAGTGACCGCCAGCCGGGGGGCAGCCGCCTGAGGCCCGCCCCCAAAGAACAACCTCAACACACCGCCGCCCCCAGTCCGCGCCGACAGCGCCGCCAGCGCCGCCTGCGGCCCGGCCTGCGGCCCGGCCTGCGGCCCGGCCTGCGGCCCCGCCTGCGGCCCCGCCTGCGCCCCGGCCTGCGGCCCCGCCTGCGGCCCTGCCTGCGGCCCCACCTGCTGCCCCGCCTGCGCCCCGGCCGCGCCGGCTGCCATCGTCGGCACCGCTTGCAACACCTGCTGCTGTTGCTGCTGCACCGACGCCTGCTGCCGCGCCTGCTTTTTCAGCGCGGCCGCGGCAGCGATGCCGGTGGCGTCGAGCCATGCCGCTGTGTCGATTTGTCCAAGCTTATGCAGCCACTCGCAGGTGGCTGGGTCGCACGGCATGAGGCCCAGCTGTGATTGAGGTTGGCAGGGGGACCATTGCGGGCCAGGGGCGGGGAAATTGTGCAGGAGATGGAGAGATGGTCGGCAGAGCACATACACACAGATTTAGGGCAAAGGCTGTAGCGCTCCGTGCAGCCGTGGGCCATGCACGCCACACGACGGGCCACCATAGGAATTGTGCAGCTGGCCTGTCCGCCTTCCCTCTGTTGTTGTGCCAGGACAGCCTTTCGTGTCACGTTATACTGCTGCTCCCGCCCGCAAGGCTTCGCCCTTGCAAGTCATTGTGTTGAGAATCCCCCTCACCTCTGTCCACGCGCTTGCGTCCAAGAACTGCGTCGACACCGCGAGCCCCGGCGCGATGTCCACCCCCAAGTCGCGCAGCTGCTGCATCCGCGCCGCGGACGGCTTGGGCGCCGCGTCTGGCAGCGGCGGCTTGGCCACCGCCGCCGCCGCCGGGTTGCCGCCCCCGAGCGAGCGCGCGATCGCGGACAGCGTGTCGGGCAGCGTCGGCCGCGGCACATCCTGCGAGCGGCTCGCGACCCGCAGGCAGTACCCCGTCCCGGGCGGGCACGGCTGCTGCGCGCTTAGGCTTCCGTCTGCGGTCTCCCTGCCGCGCCACTCGGTGAACAGCGCCGCGCCGCTCCAGATCGGGATGTAGGCGGATGCCGCGAGCGTGGCAATCAGATCGCTCCGGTCCTTGAAGCCGTCGACGGCGCCCGCCATGACGCTCTTTGTGCGCCCGTTGTCGAGGACCGTGACGCCCGCAAAGATCTTGCCGCTGCAGCGCTTGGCGGCGTCGGGAGGCAGGGCGGCCTCCAGCAGCTGCCGGACTGTCTCGTCCATGCGCCCTGCGCAGCCCTCGCGGCGGCAGGCGCCCGTGAAGTCAGACACCTGTCACGTTTTGGCGTGGGGATTGTGCGGGGCGGCGTCAGCGGCTGCTGCCTGCCAGAGGTACTGTTCGCAAGGGTCTGGTATGAAGAATGGGGCAAAGGGGCTGGCCGACGACCACATTCAGCGCGCTGGCTAAACCTGTCAACGCCCTGGAAACCAACAACCACAGGCTCGCGGTCCGTGCCAACCCAGCGGCCGCGCTGAAACGCGGCGCCACAGTCATTGGTCCCCCACAAGCCTCCCGCCAGGCCGTGCAGCGGCGCACCGTTTTGTGCAGGAAGGCCTCGTCCATGCCGCTGCACATCGCGCCGGCCGTGATGGCGCCGCTGGAGATGCCCGCGACGCGCGTGTTTTCGTCCACCACCCCCAGCTGCTGCAGGACTTTGAGGACGCCGCTGAGAGGGTGGGGGCCGACAGGGTGGGAGGACATGTGCGGGGTCGGGGCCCTGGGGAAGCGACATCTCGCATCTGATGTATAAAACTTGATGGCCGGATGCGCCTGCCCTGACGTGGCTGAGGCACGTGCTCATCCGTGCACTTGAACGGGCGCGGGGCAGGCAGCAGCCGCCGCAGAGACTGCCTGTTGATGCTGCTGAGGCGGTGAGCTTCGCAGCCCAGCATAGTCCCAACCGCTCAAACCGGCAGCCACGTCATCATCCAGCCAGATGCGAGGATGCTTCCCACAGATTTCATGCATGCTCACATGTAGTACCAAATCAAGAAGCCTGCTCAAGGGCGGGGGAGGGGGGTGTTGTGCGGCGGGGTGTGCACAGCCATCAGCTGGAGAGCGCTTGGGCCATTGTGGCTTGACTCGGCGAGCCATGCGCCCGCCTTCTCCGGCCAGGATCAAACCAGATATTTGAACAGCGGCCAATTTGCTGACAGCTCGAGTCGCTTCATCCGCGTCACCAGCTGCACCACCGCTCGATGCCCAAATAGCAGAAACGCAGCACCGAGCGCACCTGCGCCGCCAAAGGACAGCCCAAGTGTTCCGTTCTCGAAGGCCTAGGCATATCAAAGGCAGATATTTAACAGTAATTCACCTCTCCAGGGCCGCAAGCTGCACGGCGTGTGCAGCACACTGCGCCACACTCGGCCAACACCCGCACACACACCGCACCTGCAGTGCCGTGACATTGCTCGTGGGAGCGAGCTGCAGGACCATGTTGCGGTGTATCTGAAGATCCTTATTACTTTATGTATCACGCTATTGGTCGCACGCTGTCCTCCAGCAGCGCGCCGCTGAGCCTGCGCGTACAAAAATGCCCACCCCACGCCTGGTAGTCGTGGGGTCTACCTGCGCCGCAGAAGCGATAAATTCTCTAGTATACAAGACAAAAGGCTGTAACGCACCACCAGGTGAGGCCGCGTGGACCAGATGGGCACGGAGTGTCACAGCGCGCGAAGAAAACTGACGGGCACTCGGCGGCTACGTCGACCAATTCTGCCATGTGCCATGAGACACTGAACACGACAGTCGAGTAAACTGTCAGAAAAATACTTTGGTTATGGGACAACAACAGGGGTCACTTCCCCGCCGTCACCTTTGCTGCAAGTGTCACGTTTGGCAAGATTCTGGCGCACGGCATGCTCTGACACATGTCGATCGGGTCTGCAACAACATCACATCTGCATGCAGGGCATCACACAATGATAGATATGCAGCTGTTTTGCATCTGCCCAGGGTCCTGGTGCTGCTGCCACTGCATCCGTGCTGTACGCCCAGGACATACAGCCGCACTCGCCAGCCGCCCAAGCCGGGCCAAGGAAGGTGGTTGCGCACCAGGCGTCCAGTCGGAAGTCCGGCCCCGGCGCCTGTTATGCAGGACAGCACCACTGTTACAAAGTGGGGCGAGCCGGAGTACAGGGGCTTGGACGCGCAGACACACACGACTGCAGCTGCAGCAGGCCCTGCCTGTCTGTGCCGCTGCTCACATGCCTGCGCTGCGCACTCTGCGGCTCCCATTCTTGTCGTTGCTGCTGCTGCTTCTGCTGCTTTTGCTGCTGCTGCTGTTGCTGCTGCTGCTGCTGCTGCTGCTGCTTTTTCGCCTGCTGGTGCTGCTGCTGCTGCTGTCCTTGCCCCTGCTGCTGTCCCTGCTCCTGCTACTGCTGCTGCTGCTGCTCCTGCTGCTGCTGCTGCTGCTGCCCTTGCTCCTGCTGCTGCTACTGCTGCTTTTGCTGCTGCCGCCTCTGCTGCTGGTTTTGGTGCTGCTGGCTGACAACCAGTCGATGCTGCTTGTAGGGGTGGCAAGCACCGCTCCGGCACTCAAGCCCGCCAGGTTGCTGCTGCCGCTGGCGCCGCCGCCGTCATTGCTGCTGCTGCTCGCCGCATCAGCCACATCGGGGGCGCTGCGTGTTGGCGTACTGGCACTTGCCAGGTCAAAACTGCCGGTGCCGCTTTCCTCGATGTCACCACTTAAGCTGTCAACGCCGTCCCCGCCCCCGCCCCCGCCGCCGCCGCCTGCTGCTTCGCCGCCGCCCTCGGCCGCCGCCGCCGCGGCCCGCCGCACGTCCGCCAGCGCGACGCGCCCCATCGCCTCCCGCCACAGCTCCGGCGCGTCCGGCGACACCAGCTGCGCCAGCCGCGCGGCCTCCCACTCCGCGTACATCGCCCCGAACCGCTCCTCCCACAGCGCCTTGGGCATCCGCATCGCGGTCGTCACTGACACGTCCCCGTCGTGCCCAGTGGTGAGCAAAAACTCCATGCGCAGCAGCAGCCGGCGGCCGCTGGTGTGCATGCGCAGCATGGCCGACTGCACAGGGTTCTTGTGGGGCGGGGTGGCGGCGGCCCACGCCGGCGACTGCGCGCGCAGCTGGCGCACGAGGCGCACGCGCGCAACGAGCGTCTCGCTGCGGATCACCATCGCCATGGGGTAGGCCTGGCGGGGCGGGGTGGGGC